ATCTGCGCAACAGCAGCAACATGCTCAAAGCTCTCAGAAAGCTTAGGGCCTTAGGGCTTAGAGGCTTAGGGCTAGGGCGGCTAGGGGTTTTCCGGGCTCAAATCACAATGATGTTTCAGGCCAGCTATGAGACTTGTTCGAAAAATGCAGGCAATGTGACTGCTGCTCCGTGCAGTTGTGTTGCAATACAGCACCTACGGGCTACACGGCTACAGCTGCTGGGGCTACGGTCACTACAACGACAACCGCGATGGACCGACAAGGACACTGACACATTCTCATATGGCTCTCCAAACACAGACACGAAACAAGTGTTTTGGGAGGCACACATGGCATGTGTGGGTTTATGTTGTTTACAAGGTGTCACATTCATCGCAGGCACAGTGCAGACATAGCACCAGCACTCACCACTAGCCGAGCCACTAGTCAGTAGTCACTAGTCAGGAGTCTCACTAGACACTAGTCACTAGTCACACAAGGCACTAAGAGACATGAGCGAGAAGTACAGTACAGCTCAAAGCTAAACAACAATAAAGGGAATAAAAACAATCACTCAATCGCAAGTCCTGCAAGTCACAACTGCACTGGGTGGCGGCGGTGCTGACATGTCTCTGGCCTTGAGCAGCTTGGCAATCTCGGCATCGACGGTTTTCGGGTCGATGGTGTTCATGGTGATGGCAGCAGCTGTGAGGACTTTGTTCATGTCGGTCTCATCCGTCGACAAATCCTTCTTCCAACTTGTCTCAGCATGGCATGCCTCATAGCCTTGCCCGACATCTTCGACTCTCTGGGACAAGCTCTCCAGCTCAGTGGTCACCGCTACTGCGTGGGCGGCACTTGCCTCCAGCAACAACTTGCTCCGGGTCACAGTGTTCTTGAAGGCAGCTCCCAGCTGAACGAAGGAAACTGGGCAGAGGTCCTGCAAGGTGCACTGCTTCACAACCTCTGGATTCCCGACCTCCATTTCGTTCGGCAGCTCGCTTTGCTGCTGTTCAGCAGCCTTTTCAGCTTTCTCAAAAGCCAAGCAAGCCCTCAGCATTTTGTCATAGGAACATCTGTTGATGTCCCGTCGGATCCTTTCGTCGAGATTCTGCCCCAGTGCAGAGAAACGCTCCTCGCACTTCCAGAATTCCACGGCAGATCCACACATCTTCAGCAGCGACAGAAACCACTGAGAGAAAGGATGCTCCACTAGCTTCGAAAAGTCACTGGCGACCTCCACCAGGTGGTCCAGCGCCGCCGCCTCCTTCGGGCAAGCCTGTCCATGTAGAATATAGAATCTAGAATCTAGCCAACTATGGTTGACATGTTGAGTCCCCAGGCACATGCACCTTACCTCTGCAAGGCACGGTACAACACACGACATCGTTTCATGCCAGAGCATAAAGTCGCACGCAATGGGCTGAATGTTGATCTGGTCATGGCCCAAGAATCTCTTTGCTCCGGGTTCACCCTAAAAAATAGAGACAACTTGAACACAGCAGGCATGCAACATCTGGGATGCCATGGCCATGGCCATGCAATGTGAGAGCCGTCTTGGGTGTCAGTGTCTAGCAGTCTAGCAATAACAGCTGAAAACATGCACATGAGCACCTGCATGTTAGTCAGTTAGTCAGCGCGCATTTATTGAGTGAAATTTAGAATTTAGAACAGATGGGTTGGCACAGGTATAGGTCCTAGGTCCTAGGTCCTAGGTGTGCATGCACATGCATGCTTTTGCGTTCGTATGAGTGCACCAAGAAGCCATTCATGCACACCTGCATGCGCGACTGAAGGCATGACGTCATGGCAACTTTAGCAGTTTAGCATGCACAACTGAAGGCATGATACCATGGCCCTGGCAATGCGCTACTCCGCTACTCAAGGCGGTGCAAACGGATGAAACATGGCCACAATTGGATGGTCTTTTGCAGTCACTTCAATCCAACAGATTGTGCCCCACATGCAACGATGCTCGAGTGACTCGAGTGTTGCTCGTCTCGGAGTTTCAAGCGTTGCCGTCAAGCAGCGTCAAAGAATTTTGCGGCTCCATATCACTGTCATTAAATTATAATTAGTGCCACCCTCCTGACCTTTACTATTCATTAGAGCCTACAGTCTCTAAGTCAAGGGTTAGACGGCAAGGGCCCGGCTAGGCAGTATAGGCTTGCTAGGCTAAACGCTCGACAACGATTGATTCTTGACTTGACAGTATGACGACTAATGACTAGTGCTCTGCCAACACATCTCACTCAAAAACAAATCTCAGGGCTAAGCCAACCACTTTTTCACTTACCTATTCGACTCGACTCTACTCTACTCTACTTATTCTTCCTTTCAATGCAAGGGTTCGGTTCAACCAATCACCGAACCTGTCATTCTGAATAAAACCCAACAAGTTGATCCGATGCCATGATGCAATAATTCAGTACATCTCAAAAACTGATAAACAAGAAAACTTCACCTGACACTGGTTAGCCGGTTAGCCGGTTAGCCATGAATGTGATGGAAGCTCAGGATGCAATTGGAAATGCACCACGCAGTATGTTCGTCACAGAATCGGAAAATCTGATAATCACGCTATGGACAGAAGGACCCAGGACTGACTGCACTCGGATCCCACATAGGCACTGGACAAGAATCAACCGCCCAGCGACCTCGGCCAACACCAACATTTTGTTCATCAGGGGGACATACAGCTTCTGGAGGTCGCCATTCATGTCCGCTGGGAACCCGTTCGGGTGCTGGGCCGCCTGGTAGCGCAGCTTTTCCAAGTCGAAGCCTTCGCCGTTGACACTGGCCTCCATCTCCGCTGCAAGCCACTGCCCAAAGGCGGCTTTGTTGATCGCATTCTTTGACTTGTCCTTCCACTGGCTGAGCTGCAAGATCTCCTCGTTCAAGTCGAGATTGGTGCCCTCAAGGTCGGCAATGAAGTCTTGCAGTGGAGCCACCAAATCCTGGAATTCATTCCCAAAGGATTTGACAGCGACAACCTCTGTTGTTAGCAGCACCACTGCATCCTTGATCACTGCCTGCAGCTCAAGCGTTGCACCTTGGCGCAAGCTGTCAACATACCTTGGGACCTGGGTCACAACCTCGCGCAGGGTCGCCAGATTCCCAGCCGAAAGCATCTTCTTGTCCTCCTCTGTGCTCTTGGCCAGCTCCACCATTTTTCTGATGCGCTTCACTGCATCCTGCAACTTCGGCCCGAGCTCCTTGGCTGCACCGGCCTTCAGCGTCAGCTCCTTGCTGAGCTGCTGCCAGAATGCATCCTGCAGCTCGTACTTCAGCATGCAGAGCAAAGGATCTGCATCGTCTTTGAGGGTTGTCACCTCGATCACATCTTTTGCTGAGGAGCCCAAAAAGCATGGCACAGGAACCAGCAATGCCACAATGGCTTTGCAAAACATCTGCACAACCGCCATGCCTGTGATCAGTGGAGCTGGGAGCTCTGCCACCTCAGCCTCGTAGGTCATCTCCAACTGAGTCATCCCTTCGAGCATGGACTGGCAGATGGACACCAGGATTTTCTGGGAGGGCTTTTTGGTCCGGGCTGCCTTCAGGAGGCTGGCAATGTAGTCATTGCCGAAACCATCCACCAACGTCTGCCGAAGAACCTGCTCAAGCTGACTCAAGCAATTCCGGTTCATGACAAGCCGGGGGTGGTTAGCACACAAACAACATCTCATTCACTCCTCACTACTGAACTACTAAACTGAACTGCTGACCATCAAACCTGTACTCTCTATCTGTCTGTGACTGACTCTCACTCTTGCTCCCTCTCTCTCTCTCTCTCTCTCTCTCTTTCTCTCTCTCTCCCCCTCTCTCGCTCTGGCACTATCTGTAAGTCTATAGCGGCCCTCACACTTGCACGACAAAGGTTAGGCTGTTGCTTAGAATGAAAAGTACCAGTAAGTCGTACCAGTTTCTGGCAAAACCTCGCATAGGACCTATAGGACCTATAGGACCTAGGCACCAGTGCACAGAGACAAAACATGTCACAGTCTAGTTGCATCAGACCATGATTCATCAAAACACTAAGCTCTTCATGAAGAGTTAAGCTGGTGCTTCAAAGCCCCGCCTGGTAACAGCGATCCACCCTCTGTGATGCAGCATCCTCTGCGTCCAGCCCGACAGCCTCCGCCTCAGCAGCCGCCGACTCCGGCCCTTCCGGATTCTGGCTGTCTGCACCACCATCAAGCTCAGGGGGCTCTGCCTCCATAACACTTGTGACGAGAGAATGCATGGTTGGCTTGAAGATGTCAAAGTGGTCCTCGGTGTCCGCTCCGTTCCCATCGACCGTGATGGCATCCGTGGCGCTGTTGGTCATTGAGAGCGGCAGCCAAATTTGAAGAAACTCTGTCATCACCTTACTGCTGTTGGCGGCAGCCCATTCATCTGTCCCAAGCTTGCGCATGGTCGTCACACAAACCAACTCAAGGACTCCGGCCTGGATGCTGAGAGGCAACTTGACACAGTCCTGAACCAGCTGGAGGCTCTCATAGATCTTCTGCTCTGGCAAACTCTTGATGCAGCGCTGGTTCTGCTGCAGCAATGTGGCTGCATCACAGACAGCAATGCGCTTCTTCAGGAGAAAGCTTTCCTTGATCTCCTTTGCAACCAGCTGCTCATGGATATCTCTGGCCTTGGTCATCTAGTCTGCAAAATATGGCTCTCTGAAATCATCAGTCCAAACAGCATGAATCTGGTGAGGCAACTATGGAGACTGTCTGTCGAGCAAGGCCAAATTCCCACAACATCAGATTTCAAGCTCGGGTCTGCAGGACAATGGGAAAGCGGTAGAGGCCCACAAGGTCTGTTTTGTTTTGTGCAAAATCTCTTCAGACCCAAGTCCAAAAATATAAAAATGTTTTCTCCAGTATTAGGATTATTAGGTCAGGTTATTAGGAGGGACAAAAATACCGTTGAATGGACTTGTTGTGCCAAACCTCAATTGTCAGCACTGATCGTCAGTCTGCGTTGTCTGTCTTGCAAAACAGGCACAAATTTGAAGCAAGCTTTCAGTTCTTGACAACACAACATACAGGAAACGGTGATCCGACACTGGCCGCCGGGCTTGCTGCACACGGGTACAATAACGGCTGACTTTTTTCGAAACCCACTGAGGCAAATGAGGCCTTGGCTGCTCTCAAAGAGCGACCCAGCCGTTCACCTTTCATGAATCGCTGCGGAACCAGGGAGAGGAAGCTCTCTGGAATCTTTCCCATGCGCATTGCGACACGCTGAAGCTCAGGGTCACCCGGCAGCCGCTTCAGGATCTCGGCCTCAGAAGTTGGCTCACCGACAGCCGCAGAGCCTGTCTTGGCCTCGAAATTGCTCGGGGGCCTCCTTTGGGTGGCACTCGCACTGATGATTGATGGGGCTGGGCTGGGCTCACGGTCACGGCCATCTCGCTCTCCAGGCTTTCGCTTGGGGGCAGCTTTTGCCTTGCCGTCTGCCTTTCGCTGCTTCTTGGCTGGGAGAGCGGGCTCGTCGTCCAAGGAGCCGAGGGCCAAGCCAACAGATCTTTTATGGTCCACTTGCTGATCAGGTTCCACACCAAACCGCCCTGCAGCTTCTGCCTGCTTCCTTTCGTCCTCCACAGCCTGTGCTTTGGCCTGCAGAGAGACCAGTGTGGGCAACGCTTCAAGCTTGCTCAGCGTCAGGGCGGGATTCCGCCTGGACAAAACCTTGGCGGTCGCTGCTTTCTTGACATTTTGCGCTTGTGTTGCATGAAGCTGGCACTCCAAGAGGTTCTCACTAACCGTCAAATTGCGATCCAGTGAGAACTTGACTTTCTTGAGTGACCATATGTCACCGAGCTTCATGGTCGATGGCAAATCTCGCAAGGCGACATAAGCTCCACGCAACACTGACGTCCCGTCCTCACTCACACGGTCGTCCTGCTGCAAGCCGAGGGTCTTGGCTGTGGCTCCTGCCCATCGCAAGAGGTCGGCATCTGTCATGAATGCCACTTCCCACGAAAACGACTCGCTCAAGGAGCTGCTGTTCACCACCCCGGAGCGTGTCTTGATCGGATGTGGAAGCTCCGGGTCATTGCCATATTCCGCTTCCCATTCCTCTTGTGCTATGACATTAGCCTCTGCTTCTTTCCATTTCTTTGTGGTGACAGCCTCTTTCTCCGCAAGGAGTACACAGGCTTGAGACCACTCAAGGCAAAGGATTTGAAAGCATATGCGGAAACATCGAGCACATCCATCACCTATCGGAGCCTTCAAGGTGTTGTATTGCCCCCACCGGACACCCTGGCCAAGGTGTGAATGCAACAAAGAACACAAAGGCAACTACACATCACATCAGGCCGAAACTGTGAGAAGTGAGTACCAGTACCCAATAGCATCACTGATCTTACATGTGCACCGAGTTTGCACTCCAAACAAGCTCTCATTGTAATTCCACCGACCCCGGGCCGGCCTTGTCCCTGGAGCACCGCTTGCAAATCAAGCAGATCAGCTTGGTAGCCCTCCTTGCATTGCTAGCATCAGCATCAGGTCGATCCTGAAGCAGTCCATCCCAAGCATCGTCAGTGGAGGCCCTGCTGGGCTCTTCCGCGGGTGGCCGCTCAGCATTGTCCTGCAAGAATCAGAAAAATGATATAGTCATTAAATGGTATGGTTTGTGCCTGCCTGTGTCTTGTAAAACCCTGCGACCCCCAGAGACTCTTGTAACCCTGCTAAGTAGTAGTAAGTAGTATTGTAGTAACTCGAACATCAATGAACTCTCAGTCCTCCGACCGCCGAGCACTGGGAGCAGTGGTTCTGGCCATTTTGCTCAACGCACCCATGCCGGATTCACGACCCGGCCCTCAAGCAAACACCCAGCACTCCAGAACACAAGACCCCGCTTTCACGGGCAGAAGCTTGAACAAATCCATACAAAGCATGGCAACCTCACAGCTGTTGCCAATTGTGTCACCGTACTAGACAGAAGGAGCATGGAACATTCTGCCTCACACAAGAAACCATGTTTTTCACATCGCAGTCTATCATGCAGTGTCACAGTCACTGGCCGGCCAGTTGTTCACAGTCGCACTCCAATTATCTTTGTGCGCCGTGCGCTTCCTGCTGCACTCGAAACAAAGCAAACAAAGCTATTGGCTTGAGGGCTTCAGGAGTTTTGGCATTTTCAGGTGCTGTAGAACATAAACTGAAATCAAGCTTGGTTGCATAACTGGGCTAGCTGGATATAGAAGTAAGAACTTCAGACTTTGAGCAGAAGGGCATAGCTGCACATCTAAACTCTGGAATCTAGCAGGTTACTCATGGCAAGTGTCTATGAGTCACATGACGACACAGGCCAGAGCCGAGTACGTTCTCCGCACAAAAAACTCAAGCTTGGACTCAATGGCTGCTCATAGTTCTGTCCAAACAGCCACAATCTGCCCTGCCTATAGTGAACCTTGTGGCCCGAGCGAGTCTTATCCGATCCAGCCAGCAGCTGAATCAGCATTGCAGTGTCAGTATGGCGGTATGGCACATCCACAGCTGCCCGATCCGAGGCCACAACATATCACTATATGCCTTAGCAAGTCACCAGATCGCTGCAAGAGAAAGGGTTGAACTTTAGCTGAAGTTTTTACAGATTGCAAAGCACTTTCTGAATCTGTGTGACACTATGTTTGAAAAATATATTCCTATTTACTACTTACTACTCCTCCTTTTGCAGCAACCTGCTTCTTGCCCTTGTACCCGACTTGTGTACAATGTGCAAGGCTTGCAGCTGCAGTGGCAACCAGAACCGAAACCAGCAGCTAGCAGCCCCCACCAGCATATGTATACTAGTTACTACACTGTCTACAGTCTACAGTCTATAGAATCTACACTCCGAACAGCATACAATACAAGTACTCAATGTTCAACAGTAACTCATGTCCTGGTTGCCACTAAAGTTGCCAAGCAAGCACAAGGTCACAGGATCGAATGCAGACTCTGAAAGGAGCAGCCCTTGGCTGCTCAAGCTGCCACACCTTCCCTGACTATGTACAGTGTCCATAGCACAGCTCCCAAGCATGGCAACGCAATGCTGTTACCGAGCATGTCTCTGTACTTCAGGAGAGACACACCAGGCGGAACCTCCACGTCATCGTTCCATCCCAACATGCGTGCCATCTCCTGCGGGTACACATACCTGTCCTGCCCACAGGAGTACATGCATGTGGATGTTGTGAAGCATGGCGACACTTTCAAGCCGGGGCCCTTTGTCCATGGAAGGCGATTGTGACCCTGAGAGACATCCACATAGACATCCTTCACAGTCTCTTTCATGATGCTCTCATCCACAGAAAATCTCACTTTCTTCTTGGACATGTGCCAGGCGACAGCATTGTTCAACAGATCTTTCACACGGTCGTTCAACCGCAAACCCGTGCCCCGGAAGCTCTCTCGATTGGTCCATCGAGCCCAATGCTTTGAAAGCTTCATGGCCCCTCTCATACGATCAGATTGCACCTGCCATTGTTTGATGTCCTCACCCGATCCTGTGTGGCGGTCTTCTGTGCACTCCTGCAAGCAGATCAATTCAGTTGCCAAGCAAAGGGGCCCAAGGTGCCTCTAGACTCTAGATTCTAAATTCTCAGCTCAAACATTCCTTACTCGATATCAGCTCGGCATGGATTTGGGGAAGCTAAGCTAAGACTGATGCATTGCTGCCAGATTTGGCCACCTTTCAGCCTATCACACATGGCAACACATGCGACAATAAATACACAGGGCCGCCTGCGGATAGTCTCTCCAAATAGTGAGCCGATTGGAAGCCAAACCACCCCAAACCCCGACTTCCAAGACACTCTGAGTCAAAGCCGGCCTCCAAGAAGCATCTGTAAATACCCCAGATTTTTAGCACCAAGCCCGGCCGCACTTTCAGCCAGTCAACACCCTTCGGAATTCTATTCTATGCTGCATGTTGTGGGTCAACACCGATCTGAATTCTATGCTGCATGTTGTGTTGTGGGACTGTGGGCATTTGCAAGAAATAGCTGTTTGTTTCTTGCCGGTCAATACCCGTGCAAAGCAAAATCTGCGCTGCGCATTGCATTGTAGGCATGTGCAAGAAATAGCTGATTGTTTGTAGCCGGTCAATGCACATCCGAATTCTATGTTGATGTTGCGTTGTGGGCATTTGCAAGAAATAGCTGATTGCTCTAACTCTAAGCCTCTAAGCCCAACCACTCCAGCGGCTGGCTTCCCAGACACAACTTTAAGGACTCTAAGGCAAACCACAGCCAGCCAAAATGCACCTCCAAGCCAAGCCCTGCCCAACCCCCAGCCACCAAGATGCACCGCTAACCTCAACCCTGCCAGCCAAGACACACCTCTGAGCCAAGCCCCGACCAACCCTTGCCTCCGAGATGCACTTCTAAGTGTAAGCCAAGCCCAAATGCAGAACGATGAACCACACAAGCCAAGCAGGATCCAAAATGCAGCAACATAGCCGGCTTGCAGACAAAAAACAATCTAAGTAGCCGGCTTACACAGAACAACCTTGCACTTTTTTTCTACTGCCAGCTAGGACATCCCATGCACACAGAAGATTTGTACATCCGCTGCATCTTGTCTGACAGGTTTGGGCTTTGTTGCCTGGAACAAATAGTGTCTGGCCTGGCCTGTTTGTGTTCTGACTGTCTTTTTACTGTTCCTATTTTTTCCTATTTGCCGTGCTGTGCCCTTTCAAATTCCTATTTCCCGATCTAATTTTTCCCTATTTTTTACCTATTTCTTATTCTATTTTTTTTGCTGTCCCAAGGCCACATGTCTATTTTTATCCTATTTTTCATCGTATATTTTTCCTATTTTTTCTCTATTTTTTCTCTAATTTCCTTTATTGTCCTATATATTTCTTGTTTTTCTACTGTCTTCCTATTTTTCCTATTATTTTCCTATTATTTTCCTATTTTTTCCTAATAATTTCCTAATATTCTACTATTTTCCTAATATTTTCCTATTTTTTTCCTATTTTTCATCGATTTTCCTAATATTTTTTCTATTTTTCATACTATTTTCCTATTTTTTCTTATTTTCCTATTATTTTCCTACTATTTTCCTAATATTTTCCTAATATTTTCCTATTTTCCTCCTATTTTCCTCCTATTTTCCTAATATTTTCCTATTTTTCTCCTATTTTTCTCTTATTTTCCTATTATTTTCCTATTTTTCCTACTATTTTCCTATTTTTGTCCTATTTTCCTACTATTTTCCTATTATTTTCCTAATATTTTCCTATTTCCTATTATTTTCCTAATATTTTCCTAATTTTTTCTTATTTTTTTCCTATTTTTTCCTATTTTTCTCCTAATTTCCTAATATTCTGCTATTTTCCTTATATTTTCCTATTTTTCCTACTATTTTCCTATTTTCCTACTATTTTTCCTAATATTTTCCTATTATTCTCCTATTTTCCTATGATTTTCCTATTATTTTCCTAATATTTCCTAATATTTTCCTATTTTTCTTAATATTTTCCTATCTTGGCTCTATTTTACTGATATTCTCCTGCTTTTTTGTTTTTTCCTAGTATTTTCCTAATATTTTGGTAATATTTTCCTATTTTTTCCTAATGTTTTCCGATTTTTCTCCTATTTTCTCCGATGTTCCACGCATCAAGAAAATACATGCAAAATAGGATTGAAAATAGGATTGAAAATAGGTCTGGCCCACGGCCTGGCCTGGGCCCTGGGTACGGTGCCAATTATGGCCTCCCTGACACAATATTCTTGCCCTACAAATCTGACCTGGTACTACCTACAGTCTGTTCTTGGGTTGCCAACAATCTCGGTTTGGACATGCGCTGTGCCATCAACACTCCTGGGACCTGGGAGTTATGTTATGTTGGATCATTGATTTCCAAAATCTGTTGGATCAGAAAAGCTGGCCCACAACTACAACATGTCTTCATTTACCCTTGGTTCAATGATTGCATGTCAGCCTACCCAATGCGACATGGTAGCAGCACTGAAACAGTAGGATGTGCAAACCGTTTTGGGGTTCCATTCGGCCACAAACAACAAGAATGCAATCATAACCACAGCATCCTGTCCTGGCGCTGGTCGGCCCAGCCTGCCAACAAACCACTGCTGGGGCTCTCCATGAAGTCAGCCACTGCTTTGGCCGGTGTCATCCGCTGCTTGTCACAAACATCCTTCACAGAAAGGAAATCTTCTCAAAAAGCCAGCAGTCAGAAATCAAGATATTCAAGTACATATTTCCAGACTGTTAGCTCCAGCAAAACAGGTGCACCCTTGTTGAAGCAGCTGAAAAATTGAATCTATTGCCTGGTGGCCTGCGACTTGTTTGTTACTCAATGATTGTTATGTTCTGACTGCAGTTGCAACTTCAAATCCACTCCTGCAGCATTGCAGTCACACACAAAGCCGGACTCCAGTGGAAAGCAACATCCAGAATCCAGCTAATCAATCCCGGCATGTGCCACACCACTAGCGCTACACTAATCTAAAATTTACAAGAAACTGCTCCACATAGAAGCTGCTAGAATCTGCTAGAAGCTGCTAGAATCTAGAAGCCATTGCCGGTCCTCCAGCAGATCTCTCCACAACCTCGCCTGCGACTCATCATAGACGTCCTTCCGCATGAAGCAGACAAAGATCCTGGCAGGACTCGGTTCTTTTCTGAGGCTGCAAACACTCTATGGGTTCAGGCTTCGGCCTAGGCTTCTGGAAAAAAAAAATGGGGCACAGCTACCGAGACACACCAAACCCACATTACAGGGATGAGGGATCTTTGTCATGTTGGGCATTACCGTTTTGGTGGCCCTAAAAGCTTTTGAGCAAGGTCCAATGCTGCCTTCAAGAGACTGAAGAGCACAATCCTTGGAAGCCTAGTGTCTAGGGCGGTGGGTTTGAGGCTCAACTGGGGTTCCAAGGTTTGGGTA